AAGGTTGTTGAATAGAAGATCTGACAAAAGCGGAAAAACTGTATTCACTTCATTTTCATGTAAAGAAAACCCTGACTCTGAGAACGCCAACAGCAGAATCAAAAAAAATAACGTGCTAAAAGGAAGGAAACTTATACATTTAAATCGAAACGTGGGATTTTGTAAGCAAAACTGTGCAACCGATGAGACAAGAGCTTCTCCACAATGACACACAGCTTCGTCACATTTTCACCCGCTCTCGAGAGCTTCCTCTGACCTTTCTGCAGGTTGCCGATGGCCTCGTCATAGTTCTCCAGCTCCAGGTGACACTGGCCCAGGAAAAAGTGGGCCTTGACTGACTGACTGTCCAGCTCCAGAGCATGCTTACAGTCTGCTAAAGCCTTGTCATACTGCTGCAGCTTGACGTGGCAGAGCGCCCTGTTGGTGTAGTAAACTGCCACTGATGGATTTCGGTTCTGTGGGACAATAAATAAATAAATACACGTGCTATTACTGACTGTTACAGCCTAAAACTCTAGCGTGCTCTTCCTTCTGTGATGTCACCATGATAGTTACTCACAATGGCTTTGCTGTAGCAGGTAGCGGCCTCCTGGTACTTGCGGCAGAGGAACAGCCGGTTCCCCTGCTCCTTCAGCTCCTGTGCGGTGGAACTCTTCTCCGGGCTGCCGGCCATCTTCTCCACCGGCTCCGCCTCGCCCTGCTTCCCAATCCTGTTCCCCGTCTCTCCGGCTGGCTGGATGTCAGGTTTCAGAATGTCCCGTCCGTCCTGGGTCGCTCACACTGACGGACAGCAGGGACACTTCACTGCAGTGTACCTGCAATGCGCGTCTTTAGGTGCAATGCTGCTCGATGCAACCCAAAAGGTTGAATTTGCTGACTGTGCACTGCTGCAAAAATACAGCTGGGTGTCTAGACTCGATTAACTATTCACATGACGGACTTCAATGGTGTCTAATGAGCAGCACAGCCGCCCACCAGGCTGCTTAGTACAGATATGTTTAGTTCAACTTTATAGCACAATTACAAAACGGTGTTTAAACAAACAGCCCTATGCTCGAGACCATTTGAGGTACAGCTGTTAAAAAGTTGCTGTAGCACAAAGAAATACAGAGTAACTTTAGGCAGACGGAGCTAAGCTAGGTTAGCTGAGCTATGTGTACACCGGGAGCTGGTCAGGGTAATACAGCTGAACAGCTCAAGCTGCTTTCGTACAATTCATCATTAAAGTACCATATGATAAGTCAAAACAATGACTTGCTGAACCACGAGTCTTTCCCAAACAGATTTAAAACAACGCCGCTAAGCAACATGAGAAAACAGAAATTGGCTAACGCGTTAGCTTATTTTCACGTAGCCCACAGCCGTTCGTTTCCGTGTAAATTAGGATTAATTCTCAAGATTCACTGACCCTAACACTCACCTTTAACGAAGACCCCCACATTCAGGTGACTGTGATATTGTTTATTTTGTTTTAAAGTCTTAATCTATTGATTTCCCACCCGTACGGGCAGTCATGACAGGTTGTTGTTATAGTGACGTCAGCGGCTCTTTACACGACATCGACGGAAGCCGATAGGAAACAAAGTCGAATAAAAGAAGTACCAATTTTTTAAAAAGAAATCCGAAGCTATTTACCTGAAAAAAGGTTTGTTTTTAATCCTTAGGTCTTACACTTTAAAGGAAAACGAAATATGAAAAGTAAAGTTTTGCATAATTCCACTGAAACATTTTTAATTTTGTATGTGAGGTTCAGCTAATTACACAGAAGTTTAAAAACTCTGTTCCTTAATAACTACAATATTTAACATTTTAGAAAACGCTTTCAAAAACCTTATATATAGCATGTATTGTGCTAAGAAATGTAGATAAATATAGATTTTAATTTTTTATTTTGATTTTCTTGTCTAGTAATAAATACAAGACTGATGGATCACCAGTAGGTGGCAATCCACAATAAAAAATTACAAACGTGAAATTATTGGAGCTCAGAGGATCAGAAGAGAAAAAAATAAATAACTTGTGAACATCAAAAATCTTGGAATCCCTCGAGTTAAAAAACAAACAAACAACAACAAAAAAAACCTTTGATAATCACACTCAACCAAGCCAGAAGGTTGAGAATTACAGTAGCCCACTAATCTGTGACTATGGATACTGTAAATATATATATATAATAATAATAATAATAATAATATATAGAGAGTAAATGGTACTATACTAACTAAAGTGGCAAATATAACAGAATTCTGGAAACACGTGGTTGACGCGATCAGGACGGGAGGAGTCAGATGATGTTCAAGAATATATTAAAACTATCACAAAGACTTCCCACCCAGTGCTTCATAGATGGCCTTAACGGGCCTTGGTAGCACAAAAGACTTTCAAGTTTAGCAGCAAGGCTGTGATTGTGGACAGGGTCAGTTTCATCCCAGCCTGCTGCACCTCTGTGAGGTCTCTGCAGTGTGAAGATTAGGGCACATCCCCTGAGCAAACACAGCACAAATGTGTTGGGGGTGTCCCCAGCTGTAAATCTCTACTTGCTTGGTCCACTTGTGCCCCAGAACATCCACCAACACAACTAAAGTCACAGGAAGAAAAGCCTTTGCTTGATCATGTTTATGGAATGAACACATTACATGCCTCTAAAGTCCACTAAAGAACCATATTTTTCAATAAAACCCTACATAAAAAATGCTAGAATATAAGTGACTGGGACAAATTAAAACTTTTTTTGGGGGGCTAAGTCTGATTTCAACAGAGGAAACCGTTCTTGTAGTGTGCATATTTATAGTTAAACCACATGAATGACGCACAGATATAATTTTGACCTTTTTGTTATATTTCTTTCCAACTTTCACCCTTTGCTTTGTCTCTGATGCACCGTGTACCTGTGACTGTTCTGAGGTATTAGCCTCTACAATTTTCAGTCATTTTGTGCAAACGAGGGCATCCAAATTTTAAAACCTTGGAGCAAAAGTCAAACATTTTTATTCAAGTGCTTTTCCTTGGTTTAGAAAATGACTCAGTAAAATTCTGCAGAAAAAAACTACAAAATATTTAGATTTATTGTTTAGAGATAAAGTACATTTTGGGGAACTCTGAAGACAATAGAAGTGTACCTTCTATACATTATGAACTTTTTTCAAACTTGCTGCTTACATTCAAATCTCTTGCTCTTCTACTCTTTTTGTCCAACATCCCAACCGTCATCTTCTGCCATCCCTCACTGTCAAATCCAACGGCTGCCCACTGCACCAGCTGGCTCAGCATCCAGTAACCATGGCAACCAGACTAGGAAACTGCCCGACTCCTTTGGCATGGCTAAAAAGCTGCCACTTCCTGATCGAGCTTCGGCTTTCTTTCTGCCCGTGTAGTCGTTTCTCCATTTGGCAACGCCGTCCTCCTTTTCATGCCAAGAGAGAAGAGATGAAAACACTTAACGGCGGGAGGAACCTCAAGTTCAAACCAGTAAAACAATCCACCACATCGGCCTTTTGTTTGGTGGGTTTGCTCATTCTGAGAAGACAAATGCCTGAAAATTTTGATTGAGTTATTTTAAGTGCATTTGAATAGGACATTAACAAAATTATAAAGAAACTTACGTTGTTTCAACTAAAGAGACAAAGCAGGAATATCAGGGGAAAATCCTTATCAAAATAAATGTTTGCAAACAAGGTCTTTTCTTTCCAACAAAGAAATCAGCTCAGAAGTCTTCATGTCCACTCATGTCCAGCTGTTAGTGGCATTTTGTTCTTTAAATCTCATGTAACTACCCACTTTTTCGGTCAAAACCGTTTTCCTGTTCAGCCTTTACTAGTGCATGTAAACATAAAAACATAATATGCCATATTAATTTGAGTTTTCTGACAAAGAGTGGGTGTTCATTTTTATTTATTTATTATTCAGAGTGATAAACAGTGGAGTTGTTTCAGAATTCAAATTAAAAGTTGCAGGTGAAGACTGTTTTGTCATCTTCTTCTTCCAGAACCTGCTGGTATCCATCTTTTTTTTATAAATGACCACACTTTAATACCAGCGTCAATATTTGTTCCAAGCTTCTTTAAAACCACGATTCTCCTCGTACTCTAACGGTGATAACTCAGAGGACATCATTAAATACATCTGTTCTACAGTCGTAGATCATTAAGCTCAAGGTTCTCATTGCCACACACACACAATCTTCTGACTCACAAAACCCAGATCCCTCCATTCATTAGTGCATGACTCAGTTTTCACCCCACTTTGTGTACAAATGTTCCCTGAGGAAGTTTATTACTCTATTTTTACCACCATGATACTAAACTTTTATATTTACACGTTTGTGATCATAAGGAGGGACGTGGATGTAAATTTATGACTGATTGCAGTGGTGTAAAAATAGCGTGGACGCTGACTCAGCATTTACACCAATAAGGCATGTGTGCTTTCTCTAAAAGAAATAAATCCCAAGCAAAGATGGATCAGATTTGAAGTTCTGCAAAACTCATCCCACAGGAGGAGGAAACGCCTGCAGAAAACAGAACCCAAAAGGATTATTTTGGCCAAGCGCAGTCCCAGCCTCCAGCCAGAGAAATTCACACAGCTTCACCAAGTTGAACATTTGTGCAACTTCATTCCTGCTATGAAGAATGAAAACAAACGTGGATAAGGAAATGTTTATTGAAACAAAAATGTCTGTCTCTCAGCTTCAAAAGGTACGTGTGTATTTGAGTCATAAGAAGCTCGGTGTTAAAGATCAGGCCTGCTCCTTTTGTTGAATTTAAAAACAGACCATCATGAACACACCAAAGTCTCGTGAGCTCTCGTACAAAATGCACTTTTGTTTCCCCAAAGACAAACACTTTAAAAATTCAGAATCTTTAATTTCCCTGTGGGATTTGTTTGGCGGCTTGGAGGACGTCTGAAATGTTGACTTTGTCTCCAAACTCCTTCTCTCTGTGCTCCAGCAAAATCCCCTGCAAGACAAAAAAAAAACCAGAGCATTTTACAAAAGACGCTGGTTGTTGGGTTCATTCTTGTTCATTTTACCTGCTGCCCTCGTCCGATGACAAAAACCCCACCAAGCACGAAGCCTTCTCCCAAAACGTTTCCAATGAAGCCTTTTCTGAAGGCCCTCACGCCACTCAGCCACACGCCAAGACGCATGAACGCCAGGAGCCCCATCTTCCGCTCCTGGGGCCCGTAAAACTGCCTCTGCAAAGCAAAAGGAGCCTTCAGACCTGAACGGACTTCTCACAAACACTAAACAAGTTCAGTGTTCTAGAAATACCAACAGGTAAATATGGATGAATTATGCACAATACTTTACTCACCTTCTCATCCAGGAAAATCTCACCCTTGAAAAAGGGTCTGAAGTTCTGGACCTCGGTGCCGACATCTTCTTTCACCACAGCATAAAGAGGGACCCCGAGTTCGTCCAGCTGAGGTTTCAGAGAAGACAGCTCTGCAGCCTCCTGCAGAAAGAAGCATTTATTCAAACAAATTCATGCTCAATAATCCAGGTAATAATCCAACAATGTTCAGTCAGATCATCTGGACGGTTTCTTTTTTTTTTCCTGAGACGTTTCGTCCTTCGTTCAATGGACTTCTTCAATCTAAGGAGTCAAACAAATCAAGTCCCTAGAGGATTATTGAGCATGAACTTTGGCGTTTTGAACCACTTTGGCAAAGCTGCCTCAGGAGTTAATGTGGGAGAGGGTAGGCCCCGGAGGCCATCTTGTCACCAGCTAACTATGGTTTCCCCCCCACTACGGGAGTGCGCCAGCCCGTTTGAAGTGGGACTCAGTTAGTTGGTGGCTCCTTAGATTGAAGAAGTCCTTTGGATGAAGGACGAAACGTCTCAGGAAAAAAAACAAAAAAAACAACAACACACGTGTAGATGACCTGACTGAACATTGTTGCATTCATTAAAGTCTTAGTGTTACAACTTAATTTCATTTTAGATATAAAAAGTTTGCTTTACTATTTAAAAAAAAAAAGTTTAAAACAAACAAAAAAAAAAGGTTCCTAAAAAGAGAGTGACATGGTAGTGCAGTTGGTAGAGATGCTGCCTCTCAGCGAGCAGGTTCCTCCCGTCCAAATCCCGGCCCGGGAGCCTTTCTGGGTGGAGTTTGCATGTTCTCTCTGTGCATGTGTGGGTTTTCTCCGGGTACTCCGGTTTTCTCACTCAGAACAAAAACATGCATGTTAGGCTGATTGGCAACTCTAAATTGTCTCCAGGTGTGAGTGAGAGAGAGTGGTTGTTTGTCTCTTTGTGTCCCAGTGATGGATTGGAGACCTGTCCAGGGTGTCCCCTGCCTCTCGCACAGTGATTGCTGGACATGGGCACTGGCGAACCCCGCAACCCAAAATGGAAGAAGCGGGTGAAAGATAATGGATGGATGTTCCTTAAAGGAATGCATGTTGTCCAACTTATTTCATGCCAGATTTTTAGAGTAAAATCTTATGTTGACAAATGGACTTGAAAACAGCATCATGTGCAACATTGTGGGATGTTATGCTCAGTTTGTTGTGAATAACTCTCAGCTACAAGTTTTAGCTCAACATCTGTAAAAGTGACTAAGTTATAGTCATTTGTGCATGTTGGCTAAGGTCGATTAGCTATTCAGTGATTATTTCCCAAATGCTTGCGATCCCTCTTGTGATTTATGAAATGTTTTTTTAAACATCCTGTCTGCCTTTGGCAATAAATGTCTCCATTCAGACAAATTAGTTAACTGGAAAATGCTTAAATTGGCATTTTTAAAAACGATATTCTTTTTTGTATTCTTGAGTATTTTTGGTTGCTTCTACTAATGACAACCTTTGTAGATTTGTAGGGTCTTTGAGTGACACTTTGATTAACTAATCACCTGTTTTGAGGATTAATATTGACTTAAGCGTAAAAACAAACATCTCTTTAGACACATGGTACAGACCAATGTGTTGAGTAAATGAGCAGAATTAATTTCAGTCATGTTTTAAAAAAATAAATAAAAAAAAGTTTTCAAAACATCTTAGGAACTTCAGCCAGAATATAAAGATACGTGCGAACACAGCTTGAGAAAATAATCCAATGTACCTCTCTGCACAGAAATCATCCTGGACGGCGCACTGCCATGATGACGGCTCCAGATTTTTCCCACAGAGTCTTGGCTTGGAAAGTTTTTGATTCTGGGGAATGAAATGGGGTGAAAGGGTAAGAGATTAAAATTCCAGCTGAACAAAGGCTCTTTTCAAATCAGGCATTGATAAAAGTAAGAAATGCGTTATAGTCTTGATGGATCAAATAAAGAAAACCGTACCTCCTTTCAAAGTTTTCAGCTCAGCATCTTCTAAGTATTGCAGAGCTGCTGTCAGCGGTGGAGTTAAAAAGAAATCAGTGAAGTAGTTCAGAGCTCCTGTGACCAGACCCCCGACTGTGGCCACTGCGTCTCCAACAAGCCCCATCACTTTTTCTGTCTTCGTTTTTCTGTAAACTTCACTGCACCTCAGCTGCTCTGACCGCACAGAGCCTGAGAGAGCGTTTAAATTCCAACTCCGTCTGATTCCTCTTCACTAACCCAGCCTCTGTTTGGACCCAGATCCTGATCAGACAGTCTGATTAAACACAGCTGGGTTCTATTGGTCCAGAGGAGAACTGCAGGTTTTGGAAACACTTAAAAAAAACAGTCAGGCAGTTCAAAGGTCAGTGAAGAGGCTGAAAAATGCAACGTCACTCCTCTAAATGTGGCCTCTGTTACAAGTAAATAAGTGCTTTGCTCAATCTCAGCTCTGTCTGGAATGCAGTTTTTACAAAGTTCAACAGCTGATTGTTGCAGAGCAAATAAAGTTTATTTGTGTTCACATTTAATCACAGTGTTACATGTGCAGCAAGTTAGAAGGCTGAATTCTGTGTGAAACAAACCTGTGGGTCACAAACACTTGAAATGATATCCCATTCTTCTAATTTTTTGTCACATGTCTGATGCTCAGAAGTATTGGCATAAAATGATAAAAACATGAAATAAAAATCAAGCATTCCTATAAGGAATGCATATTGTTCACTGCTTCTCATTCCAGAGTTTTAGACTAATCTTTTTATGTTAAGAAATGAGAGTTGGAGCCGTTGTGGTCAAATATGGAAAATAACATGTGTGAAGTTGTGCAAAAATTGTGGGAGTTACGCTCAGGGTACCGTATTTTCCGCCGTACACGTCACACCGCCGTATGAGTCGCATCAGTCCAAAAATGTCTACTAAAGTGGGGAAAAACATAAACAAGTTGCTTCGCCTTATAAGTCGCATCTATTATGCATCACTGCTGACAACCCGGAAATGTGGGCCGGTGTTGTGCCAAAAATCGATTGGCTGCCAAATGGCGATCGCGGTAGCGTGCACAGGAGGACTTTAACAAGAAATTAACAAGATTAACACTTAAAACAATTATTTGTTTGCTCGACATTACAGCAAAGGTGTCTCAGTTTAACTTTTCCTTAATAAATGCACTTAAATGGTCAAATCAGCTGCATTTCAAATGCCGATTCGCGGCTGTGGGAGCGCGCAGAGGGACAACTCGCTGTGCATTTCTTCGAAACTTAACAAGATAACCACCTAAAAACAATTATTTCTTTGCTTGACTTTATAGTAGAGGTGTGTCTCAGTTGAACTTTTACTTAATAAATGCACTTTAATGGTCAAATTAGCTGCATTTTGCCTGGGCGCCTCGGCGAAATGCAGCTGATTTGACGTTTGTTCCAGGAGTTCTGGAGCGAGACGAAGATGGCCATGTATGGCAAGCCAAGTGTCTCATTAATAGCCACTTTTACCTATTAATGAGACACTTGGCTTTCCATACTACTCGAGTGCCCTCTAGAGGCTGCAAACGGTAATGTTTATCGTCAGGTCTCGGCCAAAAATTGGGTTATAAATATGAGGAAAAAACGTATATTAGTCGCTTCTATGTATAAGTCGCAGGACTTGCAAATGTATGCAAAAAGTGCAACTTATATGGCAAAAAATGTGTTATGTGTTGGAACCTTTGTGAAAAGAAATCGTCCATCATTAAACAGGGGTGGAGGCCTCCGTGTTCAACTGTCCCCCTCTTACAATGCTGTGATTGCTAGTATCACTCAGCCCCCTGTGAACAGTAAACAGCCATCAGTGTGCTAATGATCCATTGTTAGGCTGATGGTCCTTCTTGAGCATGTGATCAGCTGGTTTTGGTTGTCAGCAGCAAAACTGGTTGATCCACTCTGAGAAGGTACTCTTTATAAGACTGAGCTGAATACAGCACCTCAGACTGAGGAAGTCTTTCGGATGAAAGACAAAACGTTTCTACTTTTTTTGTTGTTGTTGTTTTGCTTTGTTTTTTGAATGTCCAGAGGACCAGATTAAACTTTTTTAGATTTTTCTACCTGGATTATTGAGCATGCATCAAGATATTATGTGTTGGAAATTAATCTCAGCTACAAATGTATCAAAATTTAGCTCAATATCTATAAAAATGACTCAATTAAAGTTTGAGTTTCTTGTTTGTTGGCTGTGGATGCCATCTTGAATCAGACACACACAAAACCACTGTCCACCTTCAGCTTTCAGAAGATAGTGAGAACAAATGATTGACCAACATTTATTTTATATTTTGTGTTTGCAAATGCGCTACTGGGACAATTAAATTCATATTGAGATTATAATAATGCCCAAACTTATCTAAAAGATGCATCAGTAAATAATCAGCTTGATCTTAAGGTCTGTTTTTTTCATCTTCTCCCTGAAAAGTAACACAAAACTTAGTTCAAACGTCATTAAAGCTTGTATAAAAAGCAATCAGACGTTACAGAATCACTCTGAGTCAAAGCCTTTATCCTGGTGGGATGTTATCTGTTATCACTATGTGGTTCTTTTTGTTGACTCACTGTCACCGATCTCATTTCTGCAGCGTTCACTCTGGTGATGGGTCGCTCTCTGCTGGAGCTGAGCTATCAGTCATCTCACTCGTGAGTTGCTCTTCTGCCTCCTGGGATGAAGTGAGCATAGATACTGATTAATATGATTATATGTCTGGATTTTGAACATGTATTATTTTAGTGTATGTGTCCTCAAATGACTGAGAATAAATAAGAACTGGTCTACGTTTCAAACAGGAAAAAAGAAAACAGTAGAGCCACCTGCTCCTGATCCTGAAGAGTGGGACTAGATGGTTGTTCAGTCTCG